GGCTTGGGGTGACCGCTCTCTCTCTCTCAGTTCTTGCTTCTCTATCTAGAAAATAGCAGTGGGGATTCCAGCTCCTTTTGTGTCCTGGCTCTTTGTGGGGATTCCATGAGAGCCTAGGGGAGTCTTCCATGAGTCTGGGCTGGCACAAATTGCTATCTGTTTGGTAAGTTTGCGTCTTGAGGGTTAGGTCCTTGTAAAGTCGCAGGCAGCTTGGCTTTGAGACCTCCTAGGAGAGTGTGTGTGTGTGTGTGTGTGTGTGTGTGTGTGTGTGTGTGTGTGTGTGTGTGTGTGTGTGTGTGTGTGTGTGTGTATGTGTGTGTGTGTGTGTAACTTAGCTCTGTGAGGGACCAGAGTGATTCGTGGAGCCTCCTGAGATGGTGGGAATTACATTAGAACAGGAGGAGGAGGGAGATCCTCACCCAGAGAGAGCCAAAAGATCACGTCTTCTTCCCGCAGACCGAGTGGCATGAGATGGTTTGCCTCGTGTAACCCAAGCGCGCTGCATCCCACAGCCGGCTCTTGGATTAGGAAAGCCTCTTAGGAGTTGGCCTGTTGCGTACAGGACATCCTGCAGCCTGGCCAGATCTCAGCTGTTCTTGGCCCTGGACAAGTGGGTGGTGGCACAGGGCTGCCTGGTCTTCAGTCAGCCACATGTGCCCCTGTGGCCACCGACTGTGTCCTCTCCACGCTCATCTGTATCAGAGGACTGGCCAAGCATTCAGAGCCCCCTGCGCACAGTGGGGATTTAAACACCTGTCCGGCGCACCTGTCTCCCCTAACCACGGCGGGAAAGAGAGGCTGGAGGGATGATTGGGGCGGCTCTGTTGCTGCTGGCACCAACTCAGCCTCTGCAGATGCTTCCATTCTGCCGTTAGGGCTCCTGCCTTGGGCACTTTCTATGCGTTCCCTCTGTTTCTGAGTCCACGGCTCTGTGAGTCTGGGGACTCCAGAGTGGGGTTTTTTAGCTCCCCACCTCTGTCCCTCCCTCCCCCCGCCCCCCTGCCAAGGGGCATTCATGCTGGGTCTGGAGGAGCTAGGCCTTGCTCTGCTCCAAGGGTTTGCCTTCAGTGACCTGGACGGTGTGCTGGGCACTGAGCCACGTACCTGAGAGGCTGGGCACCAGCTTTCCTGGTCCCCTCTCTCCCTCCTCCTCCACGCTCTCCCATGGAAAGACCCAAGCTCTCTGCCTTGGTGTCTTTGTGTCTCCCATCCTATTCACTGAAGGTGGATTTCCTCCCTCTTCTCTGTCTCTCTCCTTCACATCCTTTTCCTTCCCTTTCTTTCTTTCTTTTTTTTTTTTTTTTTTGGGTCCGGTCATGGGGCCTGAACTCTGGGCCTAGGTGCTGTCCCTCAGCTCTTCAGCTCAAGGCTAGCACTCTACCACTTGAGCCACAGCACCACTTCCGGCTTTTTTCTTTTTGCTTATGTGGTGCTGAGGAATCGAACCCAGGGCCTCATGCACGCGAGGCAAACGCTCTACCACTGAGCCACCTTCCCAGCCCTCCTTCCCTTTCTTGACAGTCCCTTTTGTTTAACTTTAAAAAGATATCTTCTTCATTGTGCCATTCCTTGTGATCAGGGCGTTCTTGGACTCTGTTGGTGTGAGGCTCTCCTGGGGGCTGCCGAGGGCTCAGTGCGGAGTGAGGGGCTCTGCTTGTGCCCGGGGAGAGTCCGGGGCCCGCCGTGGGCTGCCAGGGCTCCAGGCTCACCCAGGCCCGCCCGGCCGACGGCTCTCAGAGGTTGGAGCGCTGGGCTGTGATCTTGGGGGTGGAGAGCACTCCTGGGGCTTCCACGAGGTGGTTTGGGGCCCGGCTGCAGTGCAGACCCCCCAGTGGGATCTGTCCCCGGCCTGGCTGCAGTGCCAGGCGTTGCTTTGGTGGAAAGACGTGGCGGGTGATCTGAGATCTGAGGGAGGCAATGACTGGGCCCGGGGGATTGTGCCTTCTCACCGTTCATTCTGTGCAGTTTCCGACCCCGCTGGCCAAGGGGCTGCCCCTCCGCTGGTTTTGTGACACACTTGGGTTTAGAAACCACAGGCCAAATGCAACACCTGCATTGTCCTTATAAGTCAATGGGGATAGTGGGAGATGTAGCTTCTAAAGCCTGGGACTCCCGATCATCACCCTGGGTATGATGAGCCCCGGGACCATCGCGGGCAGAGCACGGGACCGGCTTCCTCCCAAGGCTGACCTGCGCGCACTGCCTCCCGCCAGCCTGCAGCCATCTGTGCGAGCACTCGCTGGCCAAGAGTTGTTTCTGGGTCCCCAAATACCCTTAAAAGATGGGGTATTGGTCCTCAGAGACCTCAGGACCCAGGGAGTTACCTAGGCATCAGGTTGTACCTCCTAGTGGGTTGTAGAAGAAACTGAGGCATACAGAAATAGGATTGGGGGGCTGGGAAGGTGGCTCAGTGGTAGAGTGCTTCCCTTGCATGCCTGAGGCCCTGGGTTCGATTCCTCAGCACCACATAAGCAGAAAAAAAAAAGCCGGAAGTGGCGCTGTGGCTCAAGTGGTAGAGCGCTAGCCTTGAGCTGAAGAGCTGAGGGACAGCGCCCAGGCCCAGAGTCAGGCCCACAACCGGACCCAAAAAAACCCCAAAGGATTGGCTCTGGCCCCCAAATCATTAGCCTGGCTGTTTTGAGATGATTTGGTGAAGGAAAGGAGAGAGGATCTAAGTTGCTATAAAGATGGGTATTGGGCTGGTGGCCAGCTGGGTGAAAAGCATGAGACCCTATCCAAAAAACAAACTAAAAGCAGAGGAACTGGAGGCATGGCTCAGGTGGAAAGAGGTCCTGAGTTTAATCCCAAGTACCACAGAAAGAAGGAAGGAAGGAAGGAAAAGGAGGGAGGGAGAGAGGGAAGAAAAGAAAAGATGGAGGCAGGTGGATGTTGGCATTTGAAGCCTATGGTGATAGGTAGAATATTGATCGCTCTAGGACCAGATGATCTGGATTCAATCCAGTCCTTGCCTTTTATTACGTGGTGGCTAAGTTATCTGACTGTTAAGTTATCTCATCTACAATGGACATGGCCATAGACACACACTTCACTGGGTTCTGGGATGACCAGAGATGATCACTGTGCGGAGGGGTACACCTTACAGGACAGCACACCCCCGGCGAATGATGCTGGCAACGCAGCCGACTCAGGGGTCTGCATTTCTAGTGAGGGGTTGGGGGTGCGGGGGGTGGAGCCACGTTGAGAAGGAATGACACAGAGCCAGGCACATGCTCCAACCGTGGCTGGAATCAAAAGGCACCTGAGCGGCTGTGGCGTGCCTCCATACCGGCCTCTCCAGCCACCGGTGTTTTCTTGGCGTCTCCTGGTGTCCCGCCCATGACTTTTTGCTGGAGCAGCAGCTGCAGAGGGGAGGCGGGCCGAGCGCTCCTCCGTCCTCTGTCCTCTGTCCGGCCACCGCCGCCGGGACAGCAGCCGGCCACCCCTGCGTCCCGTTTTCATGTTCTCTAACCAGGTTTTGGGAAGCCGGGTGTGTTCCCTCTTTTTACTCATGTTTGTTTACACAGCACGAGGCAGCGCGGTGTGTTCCCCAGCGCCCGCCCGCCGCCCGGCCCTGCCCGGGGCACACCCAGCTCCTCTGCCCTCTCTCCAGTCTTGCTGAGCAGTTTCCAGTGTCTTCTGAGGAAAGGGGGGAAGGGGTACTGGCCGTATCGGCTGTGGTGCCTGGTGTTCACCTGTCAGAGTTTGGGGGTCAGCCTGAAGGACTCCCCACTTCTCTGTGCCCGAGTGCTGGGAGCAGGGAGAAAATTCAGGGAGGCTGGAGCAGCTGTGGGGGTCCAGGAGACCTGGGTTCCAAGTCCAACTGTCCCCCTGGTTTCTTCTGCTTTTCGCCCGTGACTCAGAGCTAACCAGCTGGGGCTGATGGCTGTCGTTTTGATATTAAAAGCAAATGGACTCCAGCTCCCTTGGACGCTGGATGCACACTTGCTCGCTGAGCAGACCACTGAAGAAATCCATGTCCAGCCTGGCCCGGTCCATCTGTCCACCCAGAACCCTGCGGAGAGGCCCCCTCCCCAGCTTCCCCCTGGCAGAGCCGGGTGGGAGACCACCATGACCCCCTCACTTCTAGCACCCCCCGGTCCCCTCCGGGCCTCTGGGGGAAAAGGTTCCTGTTGGGGCAGGCCCCCAGGTCCTAACCTGAGAGTGGCTGAACTCTGAACTTTATTGCCCCCCCCCTCCCCGGCTTTCTATTCTGACAGCAGGACCTGGTGTGACCCCCAGAGCAGAGCGTGGTGTGCATTCTTTGTTTTTGTTTTGTTTTCAAGTATGTTCTTGCTTAACGTTTAATTGGCTCCAGTCGGTAGGAAAGCGCTCCAAGAGCGATTATTTATGGTTTACTGTCAAGAGCAGCTATAAAAAGGGCAGCCCTGAGCCTCGGGATGCTGAGGGGAGGGGGTGTGCCCTGTGCGTGTGTGTGTGTGTGTGTGTGTGCGTGTGTGTGTGTGTGCGCACACGCGTGCACGCACACGTGGGAGTGTGCATGTGTGTGTGCGCGCGTGCGCGTGCGTGTTTGCACTGGATGAAATCAGACTTTTGCTGCCTCAGCAGTGTGGTTTAAATTGAAGATTAACCCCTTGACCTTTACAGTGTCAAATCACTTGCAGATGGAGCCCCCCCCCCCTTGTTCTCTGTGTTCCTTTGGAGGGGAGGCGGGGGGGGGGGAGGCTTTTCTTTTCTTTCTGAAGCAAGTTCGTTGTTCACGCAGCTGAGGTCTGGGGGCTCAGGAGCCAATCTGATTAAAAGCAGTACTTGGTTAAACTCTGGACAATCCTGGGGGGGGGGGGGGGGTGGAAGGCTGATCCTGTTCTGCACAATGCACATAGAAGCTGGGCTTTTCTTTTTTTGTGTGAAAACTGCAATTGTTTTTTGTTTTTCTGTGTGCCCCTCCTCCTCCCTCCCCATCGCCCTCCCCCCCCCCGTCCCCCCCACCGGCCAGGGCTGCTAGTATGAACAGGCAGCAGCCATGTCTCTCTTCCTTCCAGCACCAGCAGCACCGGGACCGAGCCTGGGGGCAGGTCCTCCTCTTCCTGCACAACCTGGCCTTGAACCGAGAAAACAGGGACCGGGCGGGCCCCAGGTGAGGCTGGGCTGCCCTCGGCGCACGGACAGCAGGAATGCGCTCCAGAGCTGGAAGGACATGGGGAAGGACTGACCCCGTCTTGCAAAGTTGTTTTTTTGTTACTGTTATTTCTACGTTTTTCTCTCTGTACATATGCCACGCCCCCCCCCCCCCTTTCCCCGTTCAGGGCCTCAGCCAGGGATGGGGCCTTTGTCAGACACTGTTGACAGCCCGGCCGGGGACTCCCGAAGCTCTGACAAGTGAATTCCTCCTTCAGCACTGCTGGGAGGCGGTGACCGCGTAGCCCGGGCTCCAGGAAGTGGGCGCCAGCTTCTCTGTAGGAACTTGGTGCAGAAATAGGAGGCGCTGTTAGCCCTTCCCCGCCGCGAGCGGGGAGCCGCGGGTGTGACGGTCCCGCTGCTTTCACTCACCGGGGCCAGCTGGCCGCTTCCACGTCTGGAGTCTCGCGTGACCCCGTCAGGGCCAGCCCAGGGGCTCAGGGATTCCTTGTCCAGACCCCGCCATTCAAAGGTGCCAAGAAATGAACCAGGCCTGCTTTCGTCCCCACAGAGACCCCCAGATCGGTGCTGAGATGCAGAGCCTGCTGCCCCCCCCGTCTTGGGACACCCTTCCTCAGCTCTGTTCTCAGATGACCCAGCGCTTGGCCTGTGTCCGCCCTCAGCATAGCCAGTGCGGGACACAGGGGGGAGAGGTTGCATGGGGTGGGGGGGGGCTAGGAAATGGGGTAACCACGCCACAGGTAAGAGAGGACCCCAGGCCGGCTGGTTTCGGTGGAAACACGTACCTCCATCCTTGTACCCCATTCCTTTCTCAAAGTTTAGGGGGGCAGAGGAAGAAGCCAGAAGAGTGGCTTTGTCATCTGAAACGTGACTTCTGAAGAACCGGACGATGGTTAGAAGGGGAGGGTGGGCATGCACGTCCTGTCCTGCAGCTTCCAGAGGAGCAAGCCAGAACCCCGGGGGTGCCCCGCTCCTCTAGACTTCCTTCCGTCTCCGCCACAGTGCCGGGAATTGAAGGCCGCCACTGGGCCGCTCTGCTGGCAGACGCAGGAAGCTGTTAACCAGACTCTGAGGAATGAAATGATCATCGTCGCCTATGAGAGAAAAGATGACGTTGGTGCTAATGATGAAAGCATGAAGACCCAAAGACCAGACGGCTCCCCTGGGCAGACAAGACTTCAAGCAGACTGGACTCGAGAACCTGAGCAAGTCGGAGCTGCTGCAGCCGTGCAGGGAGGAGCTCACCACGCCTGTGAGAGGACCGCCGGGCAGGTTGTGCACTGCACAGGGCGTCGGCGGAGGGAGCAGACGCAGGCTGAGCTGCCCTGTGCTTTGCTGCCGTGTGTCCGACAGGGAGCAGCCGTCTGTCCCGCCCGGGTGCCTTTCCTAATTTGCACAAAGGTACCATACGCCGTCACGGTGGTCCACGCGTGAACGCCGCTGTCCTCCCAGCGGGGGACATTACCTCTTCTTCTCAAGAACCATATTCTCAGGGTGCGTGTCAGGTTTGCCCGGCCTCGCGGGGGCCGGGGACGGGCTTGCGATGGCCGGTGCAAGGCCCAGCCTTCCTCGCGTCCCGTGCTGAGCGTCGTGACTGCGGCCGCTGCGTGGCCTTCCCTTGTCCTCGCCGGGGCTGAGACGGGCAGGCGGCCGCCGTGTGCTGTGTGCGTGCGCCCCCGGGCACCATGGCTGGCCGCTCGTAGCCGGTCTGAGTGAGTGGTCCGGACCTCCGTGCGCAGGCGGAGCCATCCGTCTCAGAGAGCTGGCCACGCTCGGTGGGCGGCTGCCCCGCTGTGCTGAGCTCTGGGCCTGGAGATGGCCGCGTCCCCCGCGCACAGGGTCGGGGAGCGGGCGGACGCCGGTCCCATGCGCTGGCTGCAGCTCAGGCCATGCCGGGAGATCCCACTGAATCACAGGCCAGCCAAGGCCAAGCCAGAACCCTTCTGTCTCCCCCTCCAAACACCAACCTGGATGGGGCCATGGCTCCAAGGTAGAGCCCCCTACCTCTGTCCAAATGCCCCAGGAGACCCTCTGGCTGGCCCTTTTGATTGGTCCTGATTGCCCCTGTCCTCTGCTGGGTGAGCTGGCTTTACATTCCCCTCCCAGTCCAGCCTCAGGAGATAGTCTCTCCATGTCCGCCCCCCCCCCCATGTTCCCCTCCCCCACCAAGACCCTGGCTGTCTCTAGGGAGGGGTGGAGGTTTGGATTGAGAGGCCGGAGGGGGTGATCTGGGTACTGTAACGGCAGAGGACGTGGGGGGATTTTGTGGGGGGCTGAGGAGTAGGTGGGGGAGAGGGTTCAAATCCCCTTCCTAGTGCAGCATGCCCCCAAACAGCTGAGTTCAGGGCCACTAGTAGGGATTTCTAGAAGCCAAACAAAACTCCCCGACCCCCAGGCCAGACACAGACCCCCTTCCCCCCCCCCCCCCCCCCCCCCCGCCAGGCTCTGCCTGGCCTGCTGTTTTACAGAGCTGCCCTCTGTGGCCTCCTGTTTAATCAGGCGGGGGCAGAGATCACCTCCTGGTGACCTCCCCCAGTTCCCAGGGGGTGAGGAGCAGTGTCCCCAGCTCTGTGGCAGGCTTGTTTCCAGAGTGGACAGGGTCTCCAGCTATTCAGCCTGGGCCTGGAAAAGAGGGGGGCTTGGGAACCAGCCAGCCAGGGCCCCTGCGAGCCTGGAGCTTTCCCAGAAAGGGGTTATGAAGCAGGGTGACTGTCCTCAGCAGGAGCTCGCTCCGTTTCTGGCCGAGCACAGAGTAGCAGACTTGAGCGTTCATGGCTGGACAGGGCTTCGACCCAGCAGGAGACGGCTGCGTGGTGTGTGGACACAGCACCCTGGTGGCAGCCGCCACTGCACCCCGGTGGGAAGGGATTGGCCCAGCAGCCTTCAGAGCTTCCTGGAGGTGCTGTGAGCAGCTAGCCGGCAGGACCGAGCCTCGCGGGCGCTCAGAGCATCCCAGCTTTTCGCAGAAGCGCAGCCGTGCCGCAGGTGCTGTCGGTGCAGGTGTTTCTCGCTCTGGGGCGCTGCGCACTGGTCCGCCCGTCCCTGGATCCCAGGCAGGGGCAGGGGAGACCCAGTGACATGTAGCATTTTGTCTATTCCTGGGTTAGTTCCCCTGGGGTCTGGGCACTCTGCCTTGGGGAGAGGGAAAGGAATGGGGACCCATCCTTTAAAAAAAAAATCTGTGTAGATTTGTGTTCTTCACGTACCTGTGTGTATATATATCCCTCCTCGCCATCAATTGGTACAATTTTTAATAAAAATTTAAAGCAAAGCCGGGTCTTTCTTTTTCTGAGGTGTGGGTAAAAAGGCCCAGCAAAGGTCAGGTGCTGGAGGCTCATGCCTGTAATCCTAGCTGCTCCGGAGGCTGAGCCCTGAGGATCATGGTTCAAAGGGATAAAAGGATCACTTTGAGCTGTGGCTCAAAGTGGTAGAGCTCTAGCCTTGAGCAGAAGAGCTCAGGGACAGTGCCAGGTCCTCAGTTCAAGCCCCATAACTGACAACAACAAAAAAAAAGCCAGGTACTAGTGGCTTATACCTGTAAATCCTAGCCCCTCAGAAGCTGAGATCTGAAAGATCAGGGTTCAAAGCCAGCCCAGACAGAAAGCAAGACCCTGTCTCCGGAATGACCAGAGCAGAAAGGACGAAGTGAAGCTCACGGTATGTACTGAGCCTGCCTAGTGAGCCCTGGGCTTAAACATCAGCATCACTAGAAAAAGTAAGCACCGAGAATGGGGTGTGCAGGGCTCTTCTCCATCTTCTTTTTCCCTCTTGGCGTCCACAGAGGCCAAGCGTGGAGCTGTTAGGCCCGGGTTTGGACCTGGGCTCCAATAAGTCCCTCCATGCGTAACCTCCCAGAGCCTTGAGTTGGTCCCTGTGTAAACTCCAGCCAGGGCGGCCTTGCGGGGTGGGAGGGGCTGTGTGCGTGGGAGCCGCCGCGGTCGCCTGCCGCGGCCTCTGCCGTGGTAAGGCCTCTCGCGCTCTGCCTCACATGACCGATGCCTCCAGCCAGACAGGCTTTCACTTCCTTTTACCAAGACAGCCTCTTGTGAGGGGCATGCCCGACCCGCGAGGATTTCCTGGCTGGCATTTCTTTGTGGATTAACAGTGTACCCGGCCCACCAGGGTAATCTAAGGCTCTGGACAGAGTTCCCTAAAGCCTTGCGGGAAACCACTCCTGGTCCTAGCCGTGTAAGTTGCAAGCAAAAGGGCCGGCGGGCCCTCCCGGGCCCCGTCCTCCGTGATTCAGGAAGCTGTCAGCCGTGCTGTCCAGCCCAGGGCTCCAGTTCCTACTTCCAGAGACGGCTGCGGCTCCGTTGTCTAACCTCTGTCTTACAGCTGGGCAAGCCGAGACCCAGAAAGGCACCGTACTCTTCTCCTTGGGCTGCTGAGTCAGGCCGTGTGTGAGAGAGAGCTCTTACCCCATCCATCCGGCGCTTCCAGGGGGAAGTACCCCCTGCTATTTCCCAGCTCTTTGAGGAAGCCAAAACGTGTCTATTTTTAATGCCAAATAACTGTCTTTCCTCCTGTAAAACATGGCACTCCTAACCACTCTGTGTTTGGACAGAGAGGTTTATTTGTACTGGAATGTGGTACAAGTGGAGCTGCTGCCACGTCCGGATTGGATTCTACGTTTCCCACGCTGGGTTGTAGTTGAGTTCATTAAGCAGCTCCTGTGAGATACACAGCGATGGGAAGGTGCCTTGGAACTGTCCCTCCCTCTCCCTCTCTCCCTCTCCTTCCTTTTGAGACAGGGTCTTGCGATGTAGCCAAGCGGCCTCCAACGTGATCACGATCTTCCTGTCCCAGCCTCCTGAGTGCTGGGATTTCAGGCATGTGGCATCTCATTCCTACTGTCTCTCTCGCCAGCCATCTGCCCCTACTGTCCCTACTTCGAGCAGCAACCATGAGCGAGTGAAGCTATCTGTAAGGTTGTTACAGGGTTGCATGTGTGATCCCATGTAAAGGGCTTAGAAATAGGGACGAATCCAATAGACGTTATTATTGTTTGTATTATTATTTGTAGCAAGGGGAGTCAACGGTCTCTGACTACTCTTACATGGGAAAGTCTCTGAGGCCATCTTCCCTCCGTGTCTGCCGCGTCTCTTCGCGTAAGTAAGGGGTGACCCGTGCTGTTCCCTCGGTGGTACCCCCTCTGCTCCCAGGGCCCGATCACCCCACGAAGGCTCGTCCTTCCGGATCCCGCGTCAGCCTGCAGCTCCCCTGCCTTGCTGTTCTGTACGTGTGTCCCACCCGACCAACCGCCCTCAGACGTCACAGCTGGACCCAACAGACGTGTGTGATCTTGTGGTTTCTGGGAATCCGTTCAGGATCAGTAGCCCAAGATGGCCCCTTACCGGGAGACCGAGACTGTAGTGTAAAGGTGTCATTTAAGCATGTTGTTCCGCTGGGAAGGGATGGGTGAGGGATGGGGGAGACGCAGGCAGCGCCGTGGAGGAGAGCAGCGCAGCGGCGCGGGACGCTGGCCTGCCCGTGGCACTCGCAGATAACTTCAGGCCCACTGGGGCCCAAACGCCAGCTGAGCGGGGATGGCCAGGCCGAGTGCTGGCTGGCCTTCCCGGGAAGCCCTCTGTGTCTGCCTGGTGAACTTCATGGGTGTTTGAAAGGATTTTCAAGGACAATTTTCACTTTGTGTGATTTTTGCCTCCCAGGAGGTCTTGGAACCAATCCCTGTGTAAAATGAGATCCCGCTGGACCAAGAAAGCCAGCCGCCCCGCCCTTAATCCCTCCTTTCCCTTCTCGGGAGAGCGGAGGCGGAGGCCTTGCTTCCTAGCTCCTAGCAGGGAAGGCTCCGTGTGGCATTAGAAAGAGAACTCGGTCGCTGCAGGGTGTGCACGCGCCTAGGAGGAGGAGGCCAGTGACATCTTGCCTAGCCACTGCCGTGGCTGCTGTCCAAAGGTCCCCTGGCTCCATGCCACCCTGTGTTAGGACGATGCCAACTCTGTCCAGGAGGATCAAGTCCCCTGACGCTGGCCGAGCCCCTCAGCAGGGACAAAACATCGCCCTCAGCCTAGTGCGCAGATTCAAAAGAAGCCACACAATCCCTGACTGCCACTTGTGCCTTGTGAGAACTCCAGGTAGTGTGGAGCGTGGAAAACCCACCCAACAGGGACTAACGAGATGAGGTCTATTTTTTCTTTTTTGGTCATGGGGCTTGAACTCTGGGCCTGGGCGCTGTCCCTCAGCTCTTCAGTTCAAGGCTAGTGCTCAACCACTTGAGCCACAGCGCCACTTCTGGTTTTTCTGGTGGTTAATTGGAGATAAGAGTCTCAGGGTTGGCTAGGAAGTTGGCTCAGTGGTAGAGCGCTTGCCTTGCATGCCTGAGGCCCTGGGTTCGATTCCTCAGCACCACATAAGCAAAAAGAAAAAAGCCGGAAGTGGTGCTGTGGCTCAAGTGGTAGAGCGCTAGCCTTGAGCTGAAGAGCTGAGGGACAGCACCCAGGCCCAGAGTTCAGGCCCTGCGACCGGACCCAAAAAACAAAAAAAAAAGAGTCTCAGGGAAGCCCCGCGCTGGTGACTCACGCCTGTAATCCTAGCTATTCAGGAAGCTGAGATCTGAGGATCGGGGTTCAAAGCCAGCCCAGGCAGGAAAAGTCTGTGAGACTCTTATCTCCAATAAACCACTAGAAAACCGGAAATGGTGCTGTGGCTCAAGTAGTAGTCCTAGCCTTTAGCTAAAGAGCTGAGGGACAGCGCCCAGACCCAGAGCTCAAGCCCCACTACAGAACAAAAAAAAAAAAAAGTCTCATGGACTTTCCTGCCCTGGCTGGGTTTGAACCACAATCCTCAGACTTCAGCCTCCTGAGTAGCTAGGATTATAGGCATGAGCCACCGGTGCCCAGCTCCAGCTAACTCACTGGCTGATGATGGGGACGTGGACGTAACCTCACCTCTCTGGTCCCAGGTGTCCCTGTTGGTCAGAGTCAAACATCAAACTACGTGTCTGTCCACCATCTTAGCAGTTTCTTTGCTGGGTCTTGAACTCTCTCATTCCTACTGAAACATGTTCATCCTGTCTTCCAAAACAGGCCCAGGATGTACACAGACTCAGGAATTTATGTAGAAAGCCAGCCATGGTGGTACGCACCAGTAATTCCAGGCATAGCGGGGGAACTGTGGTCCAAGGCCAGCAAAAACACAAGATCCTGTGTCCAAAAAAAATATTAAGCAAAATGAAACAGGGTTGAGGACGTGGCTCAAAGGGTAGAGTACCTGTCTGGCCAACATAAGGCCCTGAGTTCAGACTCCAGTACTTCCCCCACCAAAAAATTGAGTCTACAATTTGTATGTGTGTAATGGTGAATGCAGACACTGAGGCAGAAGGATCTGGAGTTCTAGGCCAGCCTGGTTACACCGTGAGACCCTGTTCCCCCATGCTCAAAAGAAAGCTATCAGGCCA